GACTGTGGAAGTAGTGGGTTAGGAGTTCCCCCATGAACAATATAACAATATATTAGAACAACAGAACAGGAAATACATTTTGATATAATTAAACAATTGGGGGTATTGATAAGTTTTTTATACTGTCATAAGACTCTTGCAGATATAGAATGCAATTCTGCTCTTTCTGCACTTGACAGCTATAGCTATACCTTGATTAAATTTGATCACTTAGAGGGTTGTATTTTTATGTTTAGTTTTAAGACTGAGACTAAGAGTCTATAACCATGGTTCTAACATGCGAAGCAGGTGTAATGGTTACCGTGTTCACAATATACTATAGTAAATTTGTTTGCATGCTAACATTTGCTAATTAGCCCAAAACAAAAAGGACAGTTGAGGCTGATGGGAATGAGTGTACCAAATTTCATGGCAGTCCACTCAATAGATACAAAAAATTTTCTATCAAAACCAAAAATGGAACAGTCAGGGGATCACTAACATCGGTAGGATTCATCCTCTGGGAACCAAGTGTGCTTGTATAAAATTTGGTGCCAATCCATAGAGCTGATGTTCAGATTATTCACAGGACAAGTAAAATATTTTACCTGCTCGTGGTGCTAAAGAAAAGGTCAAGGGATCTCCAAAGTAATAAGCGTTCATCCTCTGTCTGTTCCAAATGTCATGGCAATCCATTGAATAGTTTTTGAGATATTTTACTAAAATTGAAAACTGTCAACCTCATGTGGACACTACAGGAAAAGTCAGGGGATTTCCAAAGTCAGTAGGATTCATCCCTTGGGGACCACAAATGTTTGTGCATCATATCATGGCATCAAGAAATAGCTGGTGAGATATTTCAGTCTGGTCCAAAGTGGTGGACCAACCAATGGGTCACATTTGCTATCCCTAGAGCCATGCCACTAGCATGCCTAAAAAGGCTCATGGTGGCCAGAATGTCATGTGATTTGTGTTATAAATAAAGACTGATCTTTAGCAATTAAAAATGATTTAAATGGAATAACCATAGTAATAATAATAATTGTGTTGGTAATATCATAACAATAACTATTATGAAACTGTGAAACATTTTTGATTAACACTTATTATAGTAATTACTCAGTCAATGAGGATAGACTAGAGATAACTCTATAGTATAGTGTAATACAATTAAACAGCACCACATTGTATCCTCCAAAATGACCACAAAGTTGAATTAACACCTCTTGAAAACATGGTTTCTACAAAAACTGAACATTGCAACCTTCATGAAGGTAGAATTTATTACAGGACTGTTAGACTGCATTCGTTTTAGTTAGGTGAATAGGCTATAAAGTGCATTACGCAACTTGTCAGGCTCAGGTGAATATTTAAACCTGCAGACTCTCTCACGGCATCCACACTGCAGTTCTTTTGCATACATGTAAACGCTCACAACCCCATCCAGCTTATTGCCGACATTTTACTTTCTCTCTGACTGAAGGGAAGTTGAGCTGATTTCCTCTTGTGATACCAGCATCAGCTCATCTTCCTACTGAGTGACACGCAAACAGCCTATACGAGCTGCGTGACACCATTATTAGGCTACTGTTATTTTAATGAATTATTCACAACACGATACAAACATCTACAAACCAACAGGTGAGTGTAATTCATTCAGAAACAAAAGTGGCTCCATCCTCACTTTATAATAAAGTTGACAAGAAGAAATCAACACTCTCTGCCTTCTTACCTTAACAGGCATGGTCGTTTGAAGACGGTGGTGAATGCAGGTAAGTGAAATACAGATAATACACCAATGTTGTTTGCTATAAACTCTGTGACAGACTGACTGGTGAGACGAGGAGCAAAGTGCTGCAGCGTCTGTAGAGCACCCTCACCACTTCCTCTCTGTCTCTCTCTCTCTGTCTCTCTCTCTCTCTCTCTCTCCACCTACCTGTTGTATTATCCCCCGCACCTACATGAGGCAGACTGAGTTGTAGTGTTGCATATAGAAGCCTGGGGAAGAAAAAAGCATTGAAGACCAGTGCCTTTGTAACATTTTGTACTCTCTTTCTTATTGGCTACTTTTTATACGTGTACTTTTCATTTCGTTTTGTTTTTAACATGTGAAATGTAACTATCAACATGATGATGATGATGATGATGATGATGACTCTCTATGACTACAGCAATGTAAGCAGCCTTTTAACTGAGTTTGGTCATAGAAATAATGTTTATGATCATGATGGCGATTAATAATATTATTAGCTACTGGATGTTGAGCAGCACATATGATAAACTTATAAATGACAGTGCGTTGTTAAATCAGTGGTTCCCATCTTTTTTGGCTTATGACCCTTTAGAAAATAGCAGTGTCTACACTGTAAGAAACAACTTATAGAATTTACTCAATAAACATGAGGTAACAAGTTGCACTCAATTAGTTTGGGTAGATATCACCACATGTTTTGAGTGTAGGGCCCCTAAATGTATTAACTATGACAAATTAATTTTTTTTTGTAATACATTATACAACTGATTACTTGTAAAATTAACTTGAGTAAAATTAACACTTGATTGTAATGATGTTAATAATATAAATAAAATAAAATAATAAAATAAACAGCAGCAGCCAGATGATAATATGAAATCTTCACAATAAACAGTCTGACATTTTTGAAACAGAGTCCATCTTGACTGCGTTTGTGTACCAAGCATCGATGTAAGTCCACCTACTCTCAATTGCCGGAGTCTTGGGCTGACAGCTCGTAACTTGGACCGCCTGCAGAGTGCTTGATCTGGGATGTTGATGGGGCAGGTCTCTGTAACGATGTGGGCACAACACGCCTTAACAATATACAATTTAGCTTCCATGCAAGAGTGAGGGAGTGAATGAGCGGGGTGAGCAGCTTGAGATGAGTAGATGAGGGAGTGAGTGTGTGTATGTCTGTGCATGTATGCATGCTTTTTCCTGTCAACATAAAACCAATAAAAAGGTGTTCAAAAATGTATACAGATGTGTGTAGTATTTTGTTTATTCCTATTCTAGTGACCATCTGCATCATTATCCTGTTACCCTTTACTCTTTCCTTCACTGAAAAGTAGGATGTAATGCACACACAACTACCTTTCTGTATAGTTTCTTGCAAAAGAAGCTGCAGGTTACAATATTTCATGATGCCTGTTGTGATCAGCAATTCCTCCTTCTCTTCTCATCATCGGCATCTATTTCCCCTGTTTCCTTTGTCTTTCTGTCAGTTCACCTCATTTTAATTCAAATAAGCTTCAGTGACGTTATTACCATGATGTATACTGTACACATACTGCATATTGTGAAACAATAAAGGCGTGAACTAGAACACGAGGGAGACTTTAGACCCATTCAGGTCTAACGAAATGTCTGTGAACAGCGGCGGTAGAGACACAGAGGCACAGTGTTCACTTTGGGGTTGGCTCTGGCAGGTCGTGTTCTGCAAGCACTATAAGCCAGACAGCATTTACTTTTTCATTCACTTCTAAATGGAGTAGTATCAGGACCAGTAGTTGCAGGACCGGAGGCTGCAGTTTTAGGGACCGCAATCCTAGGACAGGACCTGCATTTGTAGGACTCTTGTTTACTTTGATACTGCCAGCGACCTGGCTGGCCCCCGAAGCCAATTACCCTTACCCTAACCATCACAGAGGGTGTGCGTAAAACTAAGTAATTGATTATATTCATGTTGACTGGTTAACCCTAAAGCTGCACAGCAGACAAACCTCCTTCGTGTTGCTGTGTGTTACCACCACCACCAATCCACTAGACGCCGCTGTTGAAAAAGAACTACGGGGGTCCTGAAACTGCAGCAACGTACACATACACCACTTTTCATTTTAATCTAACCCTCTTTAGATGAAACAATCTCTGATACTGTTTAGGTGTGCTTATTGACCAAATTTAATTTATATACTTTATATTATTATATACATTATAAATAATTATATATATATATATATATATTATCTGAAATAAACTTGTGGAAACGCATCCCCCCCCACACACACACTTTCTTTTGCACGTGCTTTTGTATAATTATTTATTCCTGATAACATCTTTCTATTTCTCACCTTGTCTTACTATCTTCCTTTCTCTTTTTCCCTGCCCAGCCTTTGTCTTCTAAGTGGGACTGAGTTCGAGTTGTTCAACACCAGAGGGGACAGATAGCCTGCAAGTCAGCCATCAACACGGAGACTTGAGGCCATCAGATATCAGCTCAGTCCTCCAAGATTAAACACACAACTTCACATTTGGCTGCAAGACAGCTGTGAGGGTGCAGACCTGCTGCTTGTGTTTTACCACTTGCTCTGAAATTTGCTCTGACTTTTACAGAAGCCTATTACTGCCACAGCAGAAAACACGTAGGGCTGAACAATGAATCAAAATCTTATTAAAGTCAAATTCGGTGCAATAATTGTTAAAGGTGAAATATGTGTCAAAATACCATTTTAAATTAAATAGTGATGCAGAGATGTCCTCTCGTACACATCATATTCTACAGACGTAAGAAAACATCTTTGTTTGGTACAGATCCCTGCAAAAATCACGCCATAATCATTTAAATTTGTTTTTGAATAAAAATGAGAATAATTATGTGATCATTCCCTCAAATATTGCAAATCATATTGCAAATTGCAATATCAGTCAAAATACTTACAATTAGATCTTTTTTCAAAATCCTTCAGCCCTAGTGCGAAGCTTATTATTGTAACCAGATGTTTTTCATGTTATAAAAAGATATTTTCACATTATTACAACATACAACAAACTTATCATGTTACAACAAGAAACTTATTAAAATTGTGTTTTAACAATACACATAATGGGATGATTTATATTGTTAGAAAGTTATAACAATAAACATTTCAAGTTATTAGGGATAGTGATCTGCTTTTCTTTTTCTGGCAGGCAACAATACACTGCTGTAGACTGAGTACTTTTGATAGGTTGTTTGAACCCGAATCACTAAATTTTGTCTGCACTTAACCCATCTAATAGTATTAATAAGCTTGCATCTGTTATTTGTTCCTCTGTTTTGTCAATTTCATTTTAAAAGTCAACATTTAAATACTAAACTAACTGTTTATAACACAGAATGCCTTGAGCCTGAGGCTGAGAAGTACTGACCTATAAGAGCACTAGATAAACATGTCCAAATGAATGTGAGGTTAAGTAAAGGTTATGACATAGTCTGTCAGGTACAATATGAACCACTTGTGTACACACAGAATATATTTTGACTTTTATCCTACTGTTAACCCACTGAAAGAATATTCCGCTGTCTTTACTGGACATTACTTAAAATTTTGACAACTTTCATATAATAATTCATATTACTATGTTCCTTCATGAACAAATGACCCGAGAGTACGATTAGATTATGTATTTTTATTTTAGTCAGTTGTGTGTGTTGTTAGACCAACTTGTTGAGACCAAGACCAGTCTCGAGTATTACAACACTAGTCTGAAGGTTTCTCTGACCTCAGTGTGCGTCTGTTTATTCGGGTATGCATGAGCAAAGTTTCTGCACAAGGCAATTCACCGCCATCATCAACCACAATATATTGTGAAAGTCAAAGCCACGCATGATGTGTCAGGAACAAGTTTTGTTTTTGAGACATTTTCAAACAGAGGACAACACACATTGACAATAGTTTTAAACACAACATATTACTCATATATATATATATATATAACATAATTGACAGGTTGTGTTGGAAAGTTACCCAAATGTGTATTTATGTAAATAAGACACATTTGTTGTTTGTGACACACCCTTGTTTGACTTTCAGAGCAGTTCATTTTGTCGGCTTTACAAAGTCATCCTCCTCGCAGCGTGCGAGTGGACTGGTTCAGAGTGGCTGTGTTGATGCAGCTGTGCTCAGCAGACACAGTCGGAGTCAGGTTCTGCCCTCAGTGCTGCTGGGAGACTGTCAGACACCTAAAACAAACACACAGTAACAATAAAGAAATGCATTACTGTTTAACCACAGAAAGCTAGACTGATGTACAACATGGCCGGACCATCAGGGTGTCAGCAAAACTACAGTCTGCACATATCGGTACCACAATACCAATTGTCCACTGGCTGCCTGTGAGCTGTAGTTTAATTTCACTGTGTCATTTCCTATGGCCTTGCTCCAGACTACATCAGTGACCTCCTCGCGTTTATGCTTCTAACGGATCGCTGTGTTCTGCCGACTCTGTCACCGTTTTGTTATATTATTGGTGTTCTTACCTATGCTAAGCTATCCTCTTGTGTTAGTTTCCCTGTCTCTGCATTGTCTCGTCTCTGTGTTGTGTTTCTTCTGTTCAGAGTCCATCAATCCATCCATCGTCAACCGCTTATCCTGTGTACAGGGTCGCGGGGCCGTTCAGAGTCCTTTTTTGCTTTACAAGTGTGCTTCCTTGAGTGTTTTTCTGCTACTTTTACTTCCTTTTGTTAATTGTATACACCTGTCTCATTCCTCTGATTGTGTTCACCTGTGCATTGTTCCCCTCCTGTGTGTAAATATACAGTATATATTGTGGTTTGTCTGTTGTTCAGTGCTCGTGCATTGGTTCATTTTTGGTGTTTTGCGCCAGTGTATCCCCGGTATTTCTTGTATTTCGTGGATTATGTTTTTCGTTTGGACATTTGGCTTGTTCTTTACTTTTGGACATTGTTTATTTCCTGGACTGCCTGCTTCTTCACGCTTGTAAGTTTCTCACCTTGTGTAAATCACTGAAGAGTGGCTGAATGACTAAAGCCTATATGGTGATGCTGCATTTAGTTCATACGCTCCCAGACTCCACAACAATCTCCCTGGAGAGTTGAGAATGTGCACCTTACTTTTACCTAAAGATGAACTGTTGTATTTTACCCTGATTTTACCTCACATACAGCATATGATATGTATTAACATCACTTTGGAAATATTTTTATGATTTGTTCCTTTTTGTGAATCTGTCTTGTGTATATTTTTCATTTTACAGGTTTTTGGATAAAATAAGCAATTTAAAATTATTATTATTATTATTATTATTATTATTATAACTTGTCTCACTTTTGTTAGCTCCTCTTAAATGTAAGAGATAATTTAAGGAATACTAAAACTAGGCCTGCTACTACTTTTGAACATGTTTTTTAATATGACAAACTAGCCTTTGGACTAAAAGACTAAACAATAACAATAATATATATATATATATAATAGAATTTCCTTTCAGAAATTTTTCTTTTAGCTTGTATTTGTTCAGGGAGCACATCACCCCTGGTAGGCTTGTATTGCATTTGACATTTTTAGATTTCCCGGATTAAACGCTACAATAATACATCTAAAGTCCGTGAATAAGATGTCAGTGTCAAACCCAGAGGTTAACGTACCTGTTTCTCCAGGTGGTCAATGTGCTGCAGGCGTCTATCAATCATTCGGTCCCGGCCTGAAACCTCTGCGGTCAGACTGGCGAGCCGCTCGGCCTGTTTATCAATAATGACCTACAGCACAACAAAGATATCAGACGGCTGGATCCGTCACATCGACCGCAACACAGAAACTACAAAAATAACAATTTGATTTTTATATTTTAAGTTTTAGACAACAAAATTAAGCCAAGACCAGTACTTTTGGTCTTTGGCTGTTTTCCCTGGTTTGTTTTAGGCCCCTTACTTCCAGTGATGGGAAATTTTAACGTTTCAGCACACACAGATGCATACAATAGTGTGCGTCCAACTTAGACAGTGAATTTATTTACAGGGGTAAGTTCTTGGTTTTTGCTCACCTTCATGGCGCTGATTTCAAGTTGAGTTTGAGGCCCTGTCCTCAGCTCGGTCAGGCTCCTCACTCTCTGTAGGATCCAGTCCATCCGGTGCTGCATGGCTCCCTGCTCTGTCTCCAGATCCGCCAGCCCCTTTTGCAGATCTCTGGCCGCCCTCCACAGCCTGTCCCCCCTGGCGCTCAGTATCTGCAGGTCCTTCCTCACCTGGAGAACAAAACATCTATCATGTTAGTCAATAGCAGTAATATTTTTCAGAGAATTCTCTCTGACGGTTTCCAGTTTCTTTTTATCAATTTTCAGAAGTTGACTCATGCTCTACTCTGTGAAGGACTTTCATTGACTTTATTTCTCGTTCCCAATATACCATTAAACATAGTTCCTCTCTCTGGACCGGCTTGAAACCAACTACTAACAACTGACTGACATATTAAAATGAGTCTTCCTCACCTGCCTGTGAGTCCGTCCTGCCTGTAAACTTTGCTTACGAAAGCTCTCCAGACTCTTTGTGGACCCGTCCAGCTCTGCTGCCACCTGCTCTCCCTGCTGCTCCAGCCTCTCTGCGTTCTCCCCCACCGCCTGCAGCAGGTGAGCCAGTCCCAGCGACAGCATCTTCACCTCACCGGCCGTGGAGGGAACACCTGTTGAAGGGGCACAGTGGGCCTGACAGATTCCCACCAGCAAAACGGACAGCGGCAGAACTCGGCTCACCCTCATACTCCAAGATTTCATCAGGTGGAGACTCTAAGACCACTTGTGAAGGCCTAAAGATCTAGATCTTAAATCTTTAGAGCCCAGAAGCAGATCTGATCACCAGATCTGTGACTTCAGGCTGTGGCTGCTCACATGTAAAAGCTCAGGAGTCATGTAGAGATGAATACCCATCTGCTGGGCCCCTAGTGACCTGATGTGGCTCAGATGTTCTCTGAGGAGGGCTGGAGCTCAGTAGTGGTGAAGGATAGGGGGATGAGGAGAGGGAGGAGAGCCAGACAAAAATGACGGGGGAGTTCCCAGACTGACACATGAACTATGAAATAGGAAAATTGAACCAGAGCTCTGAATATTCAATTTAAAATCATAACCAGAATAAGTCCCACATCACATATGCAGATGGAAAATTATTGAAGGATTCCTGTATGAAGGATTAACACAATTTCAGCAACATTCAAACCGCTGATAAAGTGCATAATTTGAAGTGAAAGCTGCGGCTTTACAGTAGTCAACAATTAGCTGAACTTTGGACACTTCTCTGCTCAGGCAAAGGAGCCTGTGTTGGATTTATACATGAAAGTGAAGCAAGAGAGACGTCTACTGGCTGTTTGAGGAGCTGCAATGAGCTTCTTTCTTGTTCTGGGAAGGGTATTAAGTCTTTTTATGTCCAGCCCTCCCTCCAAGCCAAGCCAGTGATTAGGAATATGTTACTGATTGTGTGGTCAGGAATGTTGCTTTTGAAAATTGTAGGCAATAATCAATATAAGTTTATAGACAAACACCGGTCCGGCAGATTCTATCCTGGAAGAAGTGGCTCTTAATGGATCACATGAATACTTGAAATAGGTAGTGACCCCACAGAGAATTATCAGCCAGCTCTGCAGTTTCCCTCAGCTCTACGGAGCTTTATAGCAATTTTATTGTTTTAGTTCACACTCACCCATGTCTTTGTTTTGTTTTCAGGTGAAGCAGGCAGCTTTAAACACAGCAGACAGACAAAGTTAGAAACTAGCCACTGAACACAGTGGAGCATTTAGCAGCTGAAGAGTCACATACTTTCCTCAGGAGTTCATAGAGATACAAAACAGTGCTAAAAGGAGATGGAATATTGGACTTACACATTCATCTGGTGGACGTAAACACAGCAACAAATAAATGCTAATGCTGCCCTGTGTCCGCTGGATCTGTAAACAGGGGTGATAACAGTGTTGTGTCATCAGGGTGCAAATTATACAGTGACTACTGGTGCATGTGCATGCTTCAGTGAACTAAAGTCTTACCATGCTTACAATATTCTGTCTAAATTAATGAATCCAGTCTGTAGATGATGATAAATCAAATTCTATACACCTTTTCATCAGTGCCCCATACCACACGACAACTTTTGTAGTCAGAGGTTGCAAGTTTTCTAGGGCAAAACTGCCAGCAAGTCAGAATTGCAAACACACAGAAAGTTTTATCTAAAGTTTTAAGTTACTCTTTTTTTAGCCAATATCTCCTTTCCTCTTGCCGATGTTGACTGTGAATGGTGTAACCTGTGTCCAATAAAGCAGTAGTCATACACTGTTGGGGAGTCTGGGAATTTTTGGGAGTTAAAACAAATGCCATATTTAATGTGAAAGGACTCACAAAAGACTAAAAATGAAATAATAAACTCTATATTGATGTTAAAATGTATGTATGTATGATAATGAAATGATAGGGTGGGCTCTAGGTGTCACGGGCTACCCGTGACTTATGGTTTTATGTCCCCTGTTAGTGGTGTGTGTGTGTGTGTGTGTGTGTGTGTCTGGGCGGGGTTTTTCTCCTGGGCACCTGGCTCTCCAGCGCAGCTGCAAGTGATCATCTAATCAAGCTCCAGCTCAAGTTCTCCTGAGATCCAGGCAGCAGGCGCCAGTTTGTTTCAGTCACCCTTGTGGTAATGTACCTTTGGCTAACTCTCTAGTATAGTCCTAGTATATTGCGGATTCCTTTGTGTTAACCTGCCACACCACCAGCCCTGGACTCCACGCCTGCCTTGCCTACCACAACTCCTCTGGTGATACCACTACCTGCACCCCTCCTGCAAGATCACCTGTACAACCGAGCGTTCATTAAATCTACTTGCTAAACTCTAAACCTTCGAGTCTGTGTTTGCTCCTGAGTCCAGCCCTAGCACACAACACTCAGTTAGCTAATGTCAGATAGCTCATTTTAAGTGAAAGAAATTACTATAATGACTTAACTCTAGAAAAAGTTAAGTGTATTAAAGCAGCTCGAAAGTTGACTACTGACATTAAACTACAGTGTCTCCATTGGAGTGAGATTTTTTTACTGAGTCTATTGAAAATGTCAGCGCATACAACATTTTATTCTCCAGGGGTACAAAAATAAACATTCAATAAGGCCTTCTGACTAAAAAGTCCAGGTTAAAGCACCAACTGATATCTCAGTTTAACCAGTGCGCTGGAAGCTTGAACGCTTCCCCCTTCTGTATCTCCGGTAGATCCTAAACAGAGCTGCTGCTCCTCCAACTAATAACTCCGAGGAAGTTCCAGGTTGGATAAAGAGCGGTGGAATAGTGAGCAGTTTAAAGTCCAGTATTTAATAGCTCTTCTATGGTAAATGTTACTAGAGGAACAGCAGAAAACAGAGTTTATAAACAAAAACACTCAAAAAGCACTACGGAGCGTAATCCAGAGGTGGCCATCTGTGCAGCCATCTTGGTCTGAGATTCCTTGCGCCCGTTCTCAAACTCAAACGGTAAAATCCATTGACCACATTTAACAAAATCCTTGCAATACAGAAGCACTTTATGATACTTGAACAAGACACTCACAATTTCCTTCTTTCTTTTGGTTTGTTTTATTGTGGCTTTGCTGTAATGTAATGCTGTTTCAACACCATTTTATATTTCACATTGTTGAAATATGCTATATGCTAAGTGTTGTATTTGAACTTTCTACAATAAAAAAAGTAATCTATCGACCAAGACGGATAAAAAGTGTTGATCGCCATTTAATTTACTGTTTTTCTTTAGATAGATATATTAAGAAATGATATTTACTTAATTATTCAATAAAACCATATGTTTTAGTAAATATTATTGTTACTTGTGCTACATGATGTCACATAATCCATATTAAATCATTATTTTACTGTACTGTAATACTTTTTGTTACATCTTGGGAGGGTTGGCTCATTTGGACTAATATACCAAAGTAAATGAAGAATTTTCTCAGAAACTATCAGGTCATCACATCTAGTGCATCAAGTATGACCACTGACATATACCAGGAAAATGTAAACCTCACTGTTTCTGCACTACAGTCCGTTATAAACCACATAATACATGAAGTTTGCAAATGCATTGTCAGGTGAGGATCAAGGCTCCTCTCGCTTTGTTTAATTAGATAAACAATCTGCAAATAATATTAAAATGTATTTTTAAATTTTTTGAAACAACAGACACACAAAGTAGTACTGACAGCCACAATTTCAGCTTGTGGTAAAACGGCCACTGAATACACCACTGAAAACATAGTTATGGATCTTATATTGCATTTCTGTCGATAGATCCTCAGAAATATTACACACTGAACCTTTGAGATGGCCTGCATTGAATCAACATGGGGCGCTGTGTCAAAGATTCGCTTTTGTAGTCCTTTGTAGTTTCATCACGGCAGGTCACGTCAGTAACATAATTAATGTTTGATGTAATTAACGTCGCCTACAAAAGAGCAGTCGTATTCTCTGAGCCCCGCGGGCCTCTTTTCCCGAGTCCTTATGAATTCTCCTTCACATCTTTCCTTGACCTCATGACGTTTTCCATCAAGGTCAAGTAAAAGTGGTTACGAAAGGAGATTGTCTTGACTTTTCGACCGCGGCCTTGGTCTTGACGAATGTCCATGCTTATCATTAACTAAAACTGACTCCCCCACCTGTCACCTCTATTTACCTCAGTCCCCCTGAACAGAGCACGTACTCCTCTTTAGCTTCCACTAATTTTGTCAGCCAGTAGTTTCAGGTAGTATACAGTGAATTTATTCCTTATTTAGCTTGTTTGCTTCTGGAAACAAGGTTGATGATGACCATACAGCAAATGTAGCGTAAAAACAAACCTATTAGGCTATAAAGATCTGTTGGCTTAGGAAGCCATTCACATTACACATTTGATAAAATACAAAAAAAAAATAGTGGGGCTTTAGAAAAGTCAGTCTAATAATTTGGATTTTTCTATCCTTATGTTGGAACTAAGCCTATTTAAACTTCCTCAGGCAGGAAAATACAATATACACAGACAAAATATATACAGTAGAAGCAGTGGTATACTCTATATTATACTGTGGTGGAAGTACTTTTTTATGTATTCATTGTATTTATTGTTCAAAATGCCATGTCAATAAAGCTTTGTTGGATTGAATTGAGAGAATCGGGGTACAAAACATGACTTCCTACACTCAGACTCAAGGCTGAATGAGCTGCTTTGTGCCAACAAGGGACAGACCAACAAACTGTTCTTTGAATTGTTTTGGAGTAGGGGCAGGCCTAATGCACAAACGACACTATGTCAACTCATAAAGCCTGATTTATAAAGGAGAGAAAGGCGTCAGTCTCAGCCCACTCCTTCCTCCTGGCATTCAGGATACACAGGAAAGCTGCAGCGAGGCGGTGTCACTGGGCCACTGCATGAGTGAGGCCACGGACCACAATGTACAGTAAGTCAACATGATTTTTGATCACTTTCAGATGCATTTAAATAATTTCTGATGAGAATTAAAGCAGCAAAGGATTTTAATGCAGTAGCTCATCTTTAAAGATAATAAAGTCGTTATGGGATGAAAACAATGTATCTGCACACCTTTTGAAAAATTAAGAAAGGCAAATTTCTTTTAAGCTTGCAGGCAGAATACTGAGGTTGTTTGTAAGCCATAGCATCATAGACACATCTTCATCTCCATAGCTGATTGTAATCTTTGAACTTAATTAAAATGTAAGTCTAAGCCTCAGACTACTCAATGATGAAAAACATTTTGGGAAATACACAATTCTTTTGTTTACAGGAGTTAGATAAGATGATCTAAAATACCTACCAACACATATAAATTAAAAAATACATGAACAAAGCTCACCAATGTTGTATCCATACACAAAAAAAAAGAAATATAAAAATGACTATTTGTGGTTTTAGGGGGAAGTGTGCTGTAACTGTTTCTTGGCGCTAGGCTAGCTTCCCCCCCCTGCTTTCAGTCTTTATGCCAAGCTAAGATAGCTGATTCAGCTCTGTGCGAAGATGGTGAGGAAGGAGGGCACGTCCAAAAAAGTAGTATTTTTGTGAATTTAATGAAAAGTGCTGTGAAGACAAGGAGGTCAGAACATGTTTAAGTTTGAGTGCAGATATGCACTCGTGTGTCATTCTGGTAGCCAGAAGCATAAGGATTGGGACGAGTAATGAAGTCAAACACCCCAGATCACCTAATTTTTCACTAAGAAAGATTCATCTCAAGAGTCTTGTAATTGCTGCCGAGGTGGGACAAGTGTACCACCCAGTGAGGCACACAGCTATGCTAGCACAGACTGTGCCCAATTCTGAATTTGCAAATACCATGCAGTAGAACCAAATATGCCAGCATTACAGGATGTTCTGGCTCCCAAATTTCAGGAAATATTACTGTGTGATTTAGAGGAGGCAGGTTTTAAGAAGACATTTTCCCATCAGCAGATATTCTGAACAACAGTGCTCTGGGTCCGAACAATGTTTCTGCGTCTCTGGCAGATAATGCTTCAGTAGGTTTTTTAGACAATAATTTAATTTCCTTCAAAACATACTGAAAGCCTTGAGTTTTGATGTTTAAATACGTGTGAGGAAATCCTACAGTGAATTTTCATCGTTGGCCAAGACTGCACGAGCCTCACTTCATTCTTTAATTTTCTGGAAATAGAAAACAAACATATTTTCACTTTTACCAGCTGTTGAGTGCTTTATTTACACTTTATCCCCCTGGTTTTACATTTAAAAAAACAACACATCATGGTACTGTTTGTTATAGCGATGTTTCAATGTCATTGACCTTTAGAAACTGAAGCACAGGAAGTGGATTCATTTAGTGATTCAGAAGGGATGAAAAAACAGGCACAAATGCATCAACGTTGCTGCAGTTTGGCCAAAACTCCAGCGCAGGAATATTATGTGCGTTCATGCATAAAGGCCTACATGCATGTGGATATCCTTTCTTAACACTACAAACTACTAAATATATCAATTTCTAAATAGCACTTTAAAAGAAAATCTGCAAGATAGTTGAGAAAAGATGGTCTGGAGATTTCAATAATATCACATAAACCTCAAAATAAAAGACATTTTAAAAGTATCAATCTAACACACACACACATACACACACACTCACACGTCTGGACAGCAAAACAAGCTAAAATAAAAAAATTAATAATAATAATAATATTTTCATATATTATCACTCTAGGGATTCAGAAATATCGGTTGTGTTTGTTATAGAAATAGCTTTTACCCACAAATGCATTAACACTGGTGGACACATGTGCAGTGTCATTCCAGACATTTAAACCTGTTCTTCCACCAGGTTGCTCTAATGCTTCTAATGCAGCCACCTTTCATAAAGGCCACGACCAAGTCAAGCATGATTTCACTTTGACTGCCAGGGCTTTGGAGGTCAGAAGTAGGGTTTCTGAATAGCTGGCGGGGGTCACATGCCATGATCACGCTTGGCATGTCATGCCTCTGTGGATCAAACATGTAAAAACTGGAACCCCAGCAAGCAGGATCGAGCGTGTTATTGTAGTGTGATTCCCATTAAGAACGCTCCAGTCACACACAGCGCTAACCCCTCAGCCTACAGCAGGAGCGTGTTACAGGTTAGCATGAGCCTGAGCATGTTGTGCTCACTTTTAGTTTTCACACACTAACGCTGTGTCTCGCAGGGATTGAGCAAGAACTAAGAATTTGTTATGAAAATCATTTATGTGACATGAGAAACTGGGATGACTGATGGGTTTAAGATGCAGTTGTGGAGTGCAGCCATGAACAATAAATTATCACCGATTGGCTGAGGAGATAATTTATTCACTGCTGGCACCATATTTAAATAATCTTAACATCCAAGACAAAAGAACCCAACAACAATCTGAACGTTAGCCTACAGAGTTTAGTATATAACATTCCTGATATCTAGCTTCAGGCTCAGATTGATGATGTGACTGCAATCTGAGAGTTCACCACTGGCCCTGCAGTATCACGTCCTGACATGCAACCTGCACTACACCTGCCAACACCATTATTCCCTTAAATCCAGCCTAGTTCCACCTGAAAACCTCAAGAAAGCATCAGTGTAATCCCCGACAGGGTTCTAAAGGAACGTTTTCCAATCTAGATTGCAAAATACCTATTACATTATCAGGCTTTTTATTGTTTGTTGATTGCCACCATCTTGGCAAGGTGGTTCTCTGGCAAGCAGCGTTTTTGTGTTTTGTTTTGTGGATTGTGAAAATAGAGTTGACTACAGAGTCAGCTATTATCTCTCACACCGATGCAAAAAAAAACCCAATGTCAGTTCTTTGTGGTATTTTTATCTGCAAATTTTTAAAGAGGCCATGATGTGAAGTTTGATTAGTCAGCCTTTGATGGTACTGCTTCTTTGAGGTTTAGAACCTTCATCTGGGGTTTACTTTTTGACCATAGTCTGGGGTGCTGGTTGAAAACCAATTCAGAAATTGAAATAAGACAGATGTTTATAACTCTCAAACGGTATGTAACCTGGGTTTGTGGAAGTTAATTAGTTAGTTTGTGGAAGTTAAGGACAGTTACTGACTATTCTTGTGCCTCTTCTTCATCAATTTCTTACCCTCAGAGTACAGCCTGGACCTCCTCCCGCTGGGGACATGTGTTGCCACGAGCAAATGTTTGCTTTTCATTAGATGGTGTAGGTGGTGCTCCCTTGCACCAATAGTATCACATCAGGACTAATAAAACGCTGCGATGGGAGCCAGGGCGTCGCTGACAGGTCCCGCTGCCTCTCCTCTCGCTGCAGGAGGAGGCACGGATGTATCTGGCTGGATGATGAAACTCTGGAGGTATTGCTGGTATGTGACAGCTGTATCATTTGGCATAACAATGCACCTTGTTCTGTTTGTCGTTAGCTGAACAGCCCTTCACTTCATTGTCTCTCCATATCTCATCATGACCAACAGCCCAGAAACACTTGTGTGTGATTGTGTGCATGCCTGTTTGGCCCAGCTTAGCTCAGGGGCCTTATATTCACTCAATATATTTTACTGAAAAATTAGCCCCTAGCACCCTCAGTGCTACAGTATGTTCCCACAACATAGGAAGAATACTATAGTAATGCATCGCTTGTTCAAGAACAATGTTGTCTTTCCGCCAGCACTTGTAAACTTCCCAGGAGCCATGTGTGAGAGGCAAGAAAATGGGGCCACAGGGAACTAGTGTTGCGCTTTTTATACTTTCCTCCTGAAAGCATGTGCTACCACAGTCAAACCCACTCTCATCCCAGAGCCTCACTTGTGGACAATTGGTCAAGACCCCTTGGCGTCACTTGGCCAGTTTAGGGCTCAATAAAGATAGCAATAATAAATACGCAAACTCTGCCGTGAAACATCGCAATTTAGTTTTTAGGTTAAGCACCAAAACTACTTGGGGAAAAAAATTATGGTTTGGGTTAAACTTACGAAATATACCTCTGACTCTTGCCTTTTACATCAGCATTAGAGTGGGCCAAAGAATTTGACTTCATTGAACTTTTGAAACCATGCAGACACAGTCAAGCTAGATTTGAGCATAAAATGTGGTTTCAGCACACAATGTGGAAAATCAGCTGTATTAGCATCATATGCTAACAAGAATTTGCCGTACGCTGATGTGGGCCTCCTCATGAATGTAACTGGCATCAGCGAACTACACCACTATCTGTATCTGTACTTGGAATGGGTGGGTCTTAACCCGGACGTGGGTGTTTAAGCCTGAAATTGGTATGGGTTGATCAGAAGTTGCTATTTATTAGATAACCACTTACAGAACAGCCTCAGAATTGAGCTTCAGTGCATTGTTTTATGAATACGTTAGTAAGAGAACTTTTTATTTTTTGTTCCTATTTAGCCTATTAGAAAAAAAACGGATTGACAAATTTTACTCTGATGAAACTGGTACTGGTAAAAACTGTATTATGTGTACTGGATACCCGTTTCAACCGAGTACTCGCTAAAACCCTACCAACCCTCCTTCCGATCGACGGCAGCTAAGTATCCCCAATTAAACCTCGGAGAATCGTGAGTTTTCTCCTACAAGTTTCCAATGCTGGTGGAGATTGTTGAGAGTGAAGACAGCATTGAGCAAAGTCATTACACTTCAAACATATTGCAGGCAGTAGTCATCTATTTGGTTTTGAGACAGGTAAAAAATGCATCTCCTGTTGATGTAAAAACATGTGCATGCCAAAGTATCTGAAAGAATGTAAACAGCTAATATATGGGAAACGTATTTAAAGCAAGATACAACCTGCTCACATACAGTCCATCTAACATTGTGGAGATGAAATCTGATGCTGAACTATTCATAACACCTACCATGTACACATCTACGGCAGCACTCTCATTAACCCCTTGTGTTGACTGCAAATCCTGCTTGAGTTGCATGCAAGCCTTAAACTTTTCAAAGCCACCTTTCACCTAATTGAGGTAAATGTTTCAGAACATCTATAGGTTCTGGAGGAACTATTCCTTTTCATGTAAAGCATTTATCTGACTGGATCAAAATGAGATCCATTTCTAAATGGCTCCTGTATTGAAATAGTAAACAAGGAGAGAGTAAAGACAACAAAGAGACAACAGATGTAGACAAAAAAGGGTTTTCTCAGCTCAGTTTATCCAATCAGTGACTGCTAAAACCTGTGTCCCAGGATGCCCTCATACCTGCCATAAGACTTTCCCACCCAGCAGAGCGAGGGGGTGATTATCATTAGTTACTATCAGAGGAGCACGCTGTCATTTTTATTTCAGAGCCAGACTTCCTCTGGCCTCTCTGCAGTTCCTGATATAGGCGTAGCAGTTAATGAGGGAAATACCCAAAGTTAAACCGAGCATGGGAGCCTGACAGGGTAGAGTGGGGGAGGGAGGACTGGAGGGACTGGTACGTGAGAGAAAAAGTAGCAGGAGAAAGGAGAGAGATGACGAGAGGAGGAGAGAGTAATGAGATTTCCTGGAGGACGGAGTCGTGTCTTTGCTGTGGCTGTGTGGGTCTCTGGCATGATGATTTGGGACAGAAAATAAAAATCACATTGCCAGGGATTACTACACTGCTATGGCGTCTGCTACTGCTGCTTCTGGAGCTAGAGGAGGATACGTACATACCTGTTTGTTTTTTTTTTGATACAAGGAGAGTGTCCTACTTTCCTCTGCTTGCTCTTTGTTTTACACAAAGAGAAAGGATTTTTTTCAAGCTGCCAGTCTGTAGATCTCCCTGAAAGAACAACTCGTTTGAGGCAAGATCAGCTGACTGATGCGTGTGTTGTGTTGCGTATATCTGGTGTTGTCTGATCAGGTGCAGAGCTTAGTCGACCGCTGAACAGGGAGTAATTTGTTCACAGTGGCTAAGTTCTTCATTTGTACAGAGATGATGGGGATATATGACAAAACATCTGCGGTTCCTTACCTACTGAAGACCTGTATAAACATGGCAAGAAATATTTACAGTACTTTATTAAGAAGGATTTTAAAATGTTTATCACAGAAAACTCTGGGATTTTTATTTTTCTTTACTTGGTTTTAGCATATAGAAAGAATATATAAAAACCAAAACCAAATTTGTGTTCACACTCTTAATGTCACTGAAGGGTAAGGCTGGCGACAATCTATAGTTTTTTTTTTTTTTATTGACAACAATTGAAAAAAACAACAATTGATTACTCTCACTAACAAGTTTTTTGTGTATCCAAAGCCTGATATATCTCGTTCCTCTGTGCCATAGAGCTCCATTGTTGTCCAAAAACATATACACATTAATGAGCCACACTGTTGCACTGGTGACCTGTTGACACACACACTGTAGTTTATTTTGACTCAGTCCCGCATACACCGCATACACCGTCCTGCTGCTGTGTACACGCTCATGTGCGTATTAATAATCTACGGCTAAAAATCTTCAACAAGTGCACTATTTATTTCCTTTTGAGGACTGTTTGCTTAAAACCGCAAAGCTTTTTTTTTAAATGTAACTTTATATTTTTGAGTTGTTTTTTTTAAATGGGGTAAGCCTGAGTGCCACAGACAGGGCAGGGAAGTCAGACATTGTTAAGAGATGGAGTAACGCATTGTTGGTTTTGGTCTTTTCTTGGTATTTGTTGACAAGAATAATTTATCACCAGCCTTGTCCTTGAAGTGGTCATCACTAACACCCTCTCTATTCAACGACAGCCATGATCTAATAAATAAATAAATAATAAATAAATAAAGTATATCTTCTTCTTAAGATCTCAGGTTAAGCCCCCTAGAAGGCTCGGTTTAAGCCTCCTGGTAGTCCAGGAGTAAATCTAATCTTGAGTTAAGAATAGCTGAACTAATGCCTATACAAAAAGTATTTCTTCAACAGAGAATCAAAGGGCCTTTTGGAGAGTTCAGGTTCAGAGAGAGAGTAGAGGTCCTTTTTTGAAAATAAAAATATGTATTAATATACTACTTCTGAAAAGAGCAACCAGCCAAAAAAGTTTATAAAAGTATTATAACAATAGTCACTTTTCTATAATTACTGTTGAATAACATCCACTTTACTATTAATTTAAATGAACACATCTGGAACATAATGGGTTTGTCAGGATTTGTCATATGTGTAACAGGTGGGGGAGCCAAAAGCAGGACACAGGAGCTGAGCTGGTGCTGTTCTTAATATTGATTAACTAAAAGTGAGCGCACTTAAAGTGGGTGGCTGAGTCCAAACAAAATCCACAGAAGGCAAAAGTGCAAAGAAGATCCAGGAACAAAACAGGCAAGGTTTTAGGCAGGGTTACTGGTAGGGACACTATTGACAGAGGAGACAGAGCACGCTAGAATGGACCGACACAGACTGAAGTAGATAGAAGCGCAAACGAGTAAAGAGAGAGAGGTACCAGGTACAACTCAGGGTAATCAGGGAAACATGAAACAAAACTAGACACAAAAAACAGATGCAGCAAACTTCACACTAAAACAGGAAACAGGCAGACAATTTCTAAACAAAAAGGAACAGGACAAGCACTGAACCAAAACCTTAGAAACACAGACACGTTCTAAACATTACACAGAAACCAGCAGACCAGAACCAAACAAGACAGGGAAATCGACCTAAAACAGGAACATGAACAAAGAACAAGCAGACCATAATATTACAGACAGACTAGACCAGGATCGAGACAGGGTCGGTGTGCAACACCTTTGTTTTCTCATGATGAAACAAGATCCACCCACCGTCTTAGCGACAAAAGGCTCGTTCCTGTGCTCTATCTGCCTCTGTAAATCACATGCAGCATTTTCTTTCTTGGAAAAGAAGAGAATTTGCACATATATGTTTCTCAGATGTTCAGCTTCATTCATTTTCCAATGTTTCCAGTTGAAATGGATTAAGATAAGTTTGTTAAATTAAGTTTCCCTTTAACAATTAGAAGATTATTTTCAATGTCAAAATTGTGTTTTTTTATTATATCATTATATAAAATAAAGTTCATTGGAAATATAAAGACTCTTTGACGTTTAGTTGCCTGAAAGTAATTACGATAAAGGAAATGTGTTTTGCATGCAAATCAAATCCCTGCCATCTTGTGTTTAATATATGACACTTATCTCATCGGCTTTGAATGGAACCGCCGGAGGACCACATGTTACATTCTCCTGTCTCTTGAGATTACGCTGAGGAAACATCTGGTCTCCCTCTTGTGCCTTCTAAACTGACAGCAGTTCGATCAATCACACTGGCTCAGTTCAGCAGGAACAGGAGTGTAGTCAACACACGGCATTTTGTCATGAATAGGCTACCAGGCAAATTTTCTGTGGTACAGTGAACACATGGCATGCAGGAGAGGAGAGCTGAGCTTATTTGTGTGTATAATGGCTGGAGATCTTGACTGGAGTCTGATACTGCCATTGTAACAGAAACATTGTGATTAGGTAACAGGCTGTAAAGATTTTCTATGTTTGGTGTTATTTAAGGACTATTCCGTAAGATGCTATCCATAGAAGACATTATTAATGTCTATGTTATAAGACTGTGTGCCTGCATTTTTTTTTTACCATACACTTTTTTTTAACAGAAGTGATGGTATTAAGACGTTTCTGCCTTGAAGCTGGTAGATAGTTGTCCTCAGAATTATTAAGTGTTCACTGCCCTCTAGTGGTTACAGAGAGAAATTACAATAGCAGTAACAGCAGTAATATATAGAAGAGACAATGCCTATCTGCTTTTTTATCAAAGAGTTCGGCTGAGGGACAATCAGTTTTTGGGAGCAACAGCTAAAGTAAAAGATACTGATGAATGTGACTGTTGGAACTTCGCTGTCCCACTTCATGTCCTCTAGATGGCAGCCGTCTTCCTAAACTGCAACTAGTTCGCCGTAAACCCCACGAAGAAGAAAAAGAAAGAGGAACTGAAACAAGACAGTTTGGCAACTTGCGCTGTGCAGGAAGAAAGAGTTCCGTTTGGGAGTACTATGAAAAACTACATCAGACCGCCAGGTTGCTCATAAACATGTCCCGGCTGGAGACTTTTGAGCGTGAGATATCTGCTGTAATGGAGACTCTGGTGGAAGCGGCGGTGACGGAGCTCAGCAGACTTCTGGACAAGTGTGTTGTGGTCGTTCAGCACCGCTATCCTCCGCCTCCAGAGACGTTAACGGCTGTGACAGACGAAGAGGAGGAGAGACAGCGGTTTAATAAAGATATAATGGTAGGACACACACTCGCACAGCCCAACGTTACGTAAGAATAGGCAGATAGGTTAGTCAACGTTAGCTGTTGTGTAATTTCTACCAAACTGCGTCATTAGTAACGTTATATTTTTTATAACAGCTGTTGCTTTACTTGAACATTTGAACCTCAGCTCAGAGTAACCGTGTTTTGCTTCAGTCAATAACGGCACTGAAAACTACACTACACTGTTGCCATGGAGAGCACGCCTGCGCGAATCAGAAAATTGATACAGAATCTTATTGTGAAAATTCAAATTGTTTACATTTGTCATCCCGCCAAAATAAAAAGTGACATTTTCAGTCCCAGGCTTCAAAATGCGTCTTTGTACCTTTGTTATGTGCCTCTGAAAGTCTCTCTTCAAACATGGATTTGTTGTTCAGCATAACTAACGTTAGGGCTATTTCAAAATGAAATAAAATCTTAAATGAATAGACTGTAGAGAGATACATTTTTTAATGGAATATATATTTGTAAAATGCAGGTTAACTTTAAAAAATCTAGTTAATAATGTATTTATTAGAATTCGGAAGGTGTCAATAGATGATTAGTGAAATCTGTGAGGTTTTTGGTGTAGCATTTATGGGATCACAAGTGTCAAAATACGTAATAACATATGTGAAAGTTGAGAAAGTGGAACAACAAACTTGTTCTAAGTAATATTTATTCAGCTTTTATTAAAGTCAAACCATGTCACTAACTTTTCTGATTTAAAAAAGAATCTATCACAAGTTTCTAGGGCCCAAGGTAAACCTGAAGCTAGAAAACCTAAGCCTAAATATCTAAATATACGTCATTTTACAGCATTTATACGGCAACAATTATTTGTTTCTTATAATTGTGTAGATATGTTTTCTGTAAATTGACCAATTGTTTAAACACCATATGTAACTAACCACTCGTGTTGCTCGTCATTGTTTCTTACCCATGATGTTACAGAACCAGTTTGTATCCCTCATGGAAGCACGGACCAAAGATGCAGTAGGGAAAATATTGATGATGTTAAAAGTGTCCATGTGTGGAGCTGAGGATGGTCCCGCTACAATACAGACAGCTGGGCTGAATGACAAGACCAAGCAGACGAGCATGAAGCCGAAAACAGGACGAGTAGCTGGGCCCAAAAAGCGTAAGTCAGTTAATGGCATGAGTGGCCTTTTATCTTCACACTGGTAATTTTAAATTGAACAAGATTTTATGTTCTTGTTGTGAAATTACAGAATCAACATCCAGAAGCTCTCAGAGGAAAAAGAAAATCAAGGGTGGACTCAAACCGGCAGAAAGACAGGAGAATGACCATTTATATTACCAAGGTATTTACCCAGCTGTTACGTGATCTGATTTCTTTATTGAAATCCATATAAAATACCGACCTGAAAGTTCAGGTCTCTTACTTACTCAGACTTGTAAAGATACCTAATATCAGCATCAGTCACTTTGAATTAGATGCCTTGCATGTTTCATTAGTCCAGTTCTGCTATAAAACAATTACCTAAAGGCTAAGTTAAGTTTTTTCAACCTCGACCCTATATACCCACATTTTTATCTGACTAATTGGGACAACAGGTTTTGAAATAGGTCCAGTATTGGGCGAACATAATCCTTGCGGGCAGTTGTGCCCTGGTCACACTTTCTCTACAATCTAGTTGGTTGGTGGCTGGAGCTGCTTGCCTTACACCCACCATCGTCTGCAGAGGAGAGTGAGAGGCAGCTCAATTCACTCAGACAAAACAAAAATCGCTCTCAATAATCACTTATGACCCACTGGAATGGTGTAGCGGTTTATGAACTGGGCATCAACTTTGTAGCTGTGTAGCACCCAGCCAATTATAGCACTCAGGTTTTGATGTCGGGACTGTAAAGACATAAGGCGCTTTTCGACCAAAAGTAGACTTTTAAGTCCCCAGATCTCTTTTCAAGGAACTAAAAGGTTCCTTCAGCCCACTGTTGTGTGTGTTTCCACCGTGGTCAAAAGACCTGCGAAGATTAGGCAAAATAATCAGCTGACGTAGGCTGTAGGCCTAAAGCCTTACAAAGGGACAGGCATCATTATTTGTAACCACTATCCATGGGCAAAATGTATAGATGAACATCAGATTTGACCGGAATATTATGAAAAACTATAGGATTTGCTTGACCATTAAAAAGAGCTTTATTGTGTCGGAGTATAATGACAAGACACACAATAAAGTTCTTACAAATTTAAAGCCCCCCTCCAGCAAGGTTTAACTGTCGTTTTTGGTGAACATTCTTTCTCAAACAGAGAATGGGGGTGTGGTTAATAGTCGGACGTATACATTACCATGACAACCAAAAACTGAAGGGCTGGAGTGTTCGCTAACGATATGCTGTGTTAACATTACTACACTAAAGTTTAGTACACTTTACTGTCTACAGTAGAAAGACAAACCAACAATCAGACACAGAGACATACCCACTGTACTTTATTACCTGCTGTAATCAGCTGTTCAGCAGGTTTTGAAGAGGAGGAGACCGACTTCAGCTCTGTGTAGAAACTTCCTGACTGATGAAAACTTACAAAAAACCCAACTCTGGACCCAGTAGTAACTCCATCAGCTGTTCGCTGGAAACACACCCAGGCTGGCTGCTATTTACATTTAATGTCGATGATTGATCTCAGGCGCACAGCGGCGAGACTGTTGACTGTGATTTATTGGTTTGCAAACAATGGTGGAAAAGGGAGGAGCAGTAGCAGACAAACACCCGACTTTTCTCCAGTTAAAGCCAGTAGCCTCTACTCGCCCATTCAGAAATTCACTGCAAGGCAAGCCCCACCCCCCAAAAGTACCCACTACTTTCGGAAAGTACTACCCCCCGAGCAGGGTCTTTTTAGGGGGTAAAATGAAGACCCCAGAACTACGTTTAGATCCTGGTCCCTTTGGTGGGAACGCAGTGAGTTCCTCCAAAAGTTCCTAGTTCTGGAGGATAGTTCCTTTGGTCGAAACGCAGCTATAGAGACCAGGTAACACTGAATAACTTTTGCCCCTTGAAAAAGTGGTTGTGTTTGTCTATTTTAGCTCTGTACTTCCCACTTTTTTGAAGTCCCCTAATGAAGCTTTTTCTTGTTTCTTTCAGCTGATGCAGCCCCACATGAGAGTAGCTCCGGGTCCCCGTCTGAACCTGAAGCCGTGTTGGCAGAGCCCTCCTCTGACTTGGCCTCCGATGTAAGCGAGGAAGACGTTGTCCAGGAGGATACAGACTCTTCAACTACCACATCCAAGATCAAAAAGAAGTCCACGGGGCCATTCAAATGCCCTTCTTGTGACAAATCGTTTGCTCTGAAGTGTTTGATGGACAGACACCACCTGACTCACTCCAAACCTCACCTTTGCTCTGAGTGTGGCAAACGTTTTGCTGGCCTGCGGGGGCTCGTTGCACATTCAAGACGTCACACTGGAGAGAAGCTTTACAAATGCTCAGACTGTGGGACCGAGTTTGCTTACAAGAACACCTTCGACAGACACATGCGTCAGCACAGCCTCAAGAAACTGAATATCCACACGTGCAGACTGTGTGAGAAGCAGTTCACCGGGGAGTTGGCGCTTCAGCGGCACAGGTGTTGTGCCTTAAAAAAGACGTTTGTCTGCTCGCTTTGCCCGGAGACCTTTGAGTGCAGGAAGAATTTGGCCGATCACGAGAATCAACATTCGGGGGACAAAGATTTTGTCTGCGAAATGTGTGGCGAGAGTTTCTTCTCGTCCCTGTCCTTGGCCACTCACCGGGTGACTCACATACAAAAGGAAAACTGCTGCGACGTGCTCGGCCTCGGATGCAGCGACTTGAGCGTCCTCAAAATTCACCTGAGCAAACACACGGGAGAAAAGCTTTTCACCTGTAAGGTGTGCGGTAAGGGTTGTAGCCACCAGAGCGCGCTGAAGCACCACATGCTGACCCACACGGGAGAGAAGCCGTACGTCTGCGAGACGTGCGGGAAACGCTGCGGCCACGCCAGCGCCCTTCAGAACCACATGAGGACCCACACCGGGAAGAAACCGGGGCAGCAGCCGGTCTGCAGCGTCTGCGACAAAAAATTCCGCTGCATGGTCAATCTCAAATATCACATGAGCATCCACACGGGGGACAAGCCGTACGGCTGCGGTCAGTGTGATAAAAAGTTCAGCAACCCCAGCAATCTCAAGATACACATGACGATTCACTCAGGGGAGAAGATGTACGGCTGCAACATCTGCGGCAGGAGGTTCACTCAGGCGAGCAGCCTCAAGCTGCACAGACGGATCCACACAGGAGAAAAGCCGTATCACTGCGCGGTCTGCAGGAAAGGATTCATACACAGAGGCGACTTTAAGAAACATCAGCAAGGACACCTGGCAGATGGGCCAGGAGATGAACAGTCTGAAAAAACTGCTGTGAAAATCTAAAACACTTCACTGCTGTACAGTCATTTACATATTCACACACTGTACACTGGAGGTCGGGCTGGGCAACGTGAAGATAATTACTGTGAGACGAAAGAGATCGTCAGTTGTCAAAGATTTTTAAAGCCTGTTTATACAGAGTATTCAATCCCCTGGCTGTTTTAGACCATTGCAGGCTTCCCTGCGAGTATAAAGTTCACTAGATTGACCCAAAAGAATAGAAACTAAGCACATCTGGTGCTTCCTATAAGCCAATTTAGCAGCTGCTTAAGGCCCCGCAGCCGCTAGTAAGTTACATATCTACAATGAATGGGTACTTTTTGTTGCTAATGTAATATTAGCTACTTACAGTCTTCTATAATAGGGCGAGAAATACAGACTGTATAAAAGAAGGGAGAGGAATCCCTCCTCCGTTCTTTTCTCCGGTTTCCTCATTTCTTTCCTGTTAAAAGAGTGTTTTGGAGGAGGTTTTCCTTACGTGAATCAAAGGTCTAAGAACAGAGGGTGTGGTATGCGGTACAGATTGTAAAACCCCTGATTGGGCTGATTTGTAATATTTGGCTATAAATGAAATTGACATGACTTGAATATGTGCTGTGAAAAAGTTTGGAAAACACTGGAGGAAACTAAACTGGTTATTTTGTAAAAAATAAGTTATATAAAACCCTAAAAAATGAAGGAAGTGGTGTGCTTTTTCTTCATGTATATAACCATAATTTTTGCAGAAGTAAAATTAGTTTGAATTAATAAAAATATATATATATATATATATATATATATATATATAAAAATAAATGTATAGAAACAAAGTCTGTAGGGCCCTATTTCAGAGTTGTTCATTATTCATTTCAATATATATTATTCTCATCAGGGTGAGCAGTCAAAAACTCAATATATATATATATATATATATATATATATATACACACATCAGCAAAGCAGTGTCAAGTCTGATCTCTGAAGTTATACATGTTATTGCCATCAGAGCTCATTTCAAACCATACAGGACCAGTGCTGACAGATAAAACTGTAGTCAGCGTTTAAACTGCTTTGTTCTGTTCTGAACATTAAGTTACAAGACTGATTATAAGATCTGAAATGATTTGAATGGGGTAACTGCAGCAAACCGTTTGAGATTTCAGACATAGTCTGACTAACTTATTGCCAAAGAAGGATGTTAACTGAGTATACCCTTTGTTCTTAGAAGTGTCTTTTAAGGTTATATCATATTCTCACATCATAAGTTTAAGAAAAAGATCAATCACAACCTGGGACAATTTTCCATGTTTTGACTTTTTATTTGAGGCATTATTTTTTGCAGTCTGATGATGCCACATATTGTAGAAATCTTCTTTCTGTCAGTGGCACCTCCCTGAGTGTTCAGTCAGGTTCTCTGTCAGCTTTTTATTCTCAGCTGAAAAAAAAAACACATCACAAAGGTTAACTGGAAATTAACATTACATGTGCTACAACATAACATAGTAGTATCTTAAACAACTTTAACAAAGTTGGCAAAAAGGTATATGAAAAGTTAAAAAAACAAACAAACAAAACTAAGACAAGGCTTGGACCAAAATTTTACCTTCCACTCTCTTGTTTAAGCATAGTGTTGCCTGCACGTCCACATGGCTGGACTCCTGCCGCTCTCAACTGCTTCTCTGAATGTTTTTGGATTTCCCCTTCACCAGCCAGGTACCCATAACGTTGTAAAACGTCTCTGGGTAAGGGCATCCCCTCTGCTTCTTATATACTCTGTTTCTGTGTTGCTGCTGAGGCCGGGGAGGAGACAGAGAGACCGTGGTGTTTCCTCTTTTTTGAGACTGCGCAATTAGACTGGACCAGTTGAATCTGACAAGAAAGGACAATATGATCAGAAGAGATGCTACTTAGGACCAGAGGCAGTTAGCAACTTTGAGTCACCCAAAGAAATGTGTAAACATGCTACTGTATTACTGTCTTACTAAACATACTGCATATGTGGAGCTTTTTTATTCTTTTTAATTATCCATTTTCCCAGTATACATTTCCCACAACATAAGATACTGTACATTTAAATTTACCGGTGCAATAACATGCTCTACCATGTCCATTATAAAGCCTTTGTTTACTTCATCTCCTTTATCAACCCTATTATCTGTTTTGTTTTCTCTGGCCTGGATTCATTTATTTCTGGTTTAATCGGGGGGGGGGGGGGGGGGGGTCTATTTCTGTTTACTCATGGCACAACTTTTCCTCATCACCTCTCAAGTCATAAACCTGTTTCCTAATCTTTACCAGACATTCAGGGCTGTATCTCATCTGTTTTGTCATCCTGGGACTATGCAGCACCTTGTATCTCTTACTGAGGTCTATTATCTTCTCTTTTTTTTAGGTCCTGTAGTCATCCAAAAAAAAGTGCTGGGGAAAAAAATCTTTCATTATTTAATAGGGCAAGAGCATAAACAATTTTTACCTTAATACTACATCTGATATTGATTCAGATCATTCCCTTCTCCCTCAGTGTGTTGTTGTGTTTAGGGAACAAGGTAACATGTAAAGAGCACTTGAGAGGAACAAAGCAACACCAAGTAATCTGCTGGAAGGCCTAATTATAAATAACATGCTTTAATTAATTCAGTGTTGGTCATTTGTAACAGTATTTATTTGAAGTATATTCTGGTGCTTATACATATGTGCTAGCCTATATACTATACTATACTATACTGTAGTTATCTTAGTGAAAAAATACCCTATTTCACTTCAATTTTATATTTTATAACAATAGTATTAAATATAATAATTATTTATGGCATTTATTGAAAGGTTGTCAGTTAGTCTACATTGCTGAGAAACTTCTGGATACAATGCATAAAAATAATAATATTATCTGAAAAAGTATATCTTTTTTATTTATTCAGTCCTGAAATGTGTCTCGTGCTGATTTTTTTGCAATATCGTTTTACTAGCCTGTTGGTCAAAGATTCTCGTTCAAACCTGGTGTAAACTGTGCACTGTGATCTTAGATCTTAACACAGTAAGGTTGCCAGAGGTGATTGATTTCAGGGCTCTGTGCAGGCCAGTCAACTTCTTCCACACTACCTTTTCTTTATGGGCCCAAAGGTCGAGGGCCTTCCCCAAATTGTGTGAAGAATATCATTGTACGCTGTAGTAGTAAGATTTCCCTTTGTTGGAATTAAGGCCCCAAACCTATGCAACAGCCCGATGTAGCTTTTATGTTTTATGTAAAGCACTTTGTTGTTGAAATGTGCTATACAAATAATCTTTCCTTGCCTTTCGTGTGCGGTTTGGAGTGTCCATATAGTTTTGTCAGTATAATGTATATCAAGTTAGAATATTTTCTTCATATTGCCCACTCCTAATTGGAGACTTGCATTGTTGCGAAGGTTTTTTGACATTTGGTCAAAAGTTAAAAACTATTTTGTTAACATATTCTGCTGCAGAAAATGACAAAATTGCTTGTTGTTCAAGCAATGTAGCTTTCCCTCTGACAAGTTCTGTTCTGTGGAGTAATTTACAAGTTAATGTGACTTGAATGTTAATAAAATAACCATTGAGTTCAAATTGACTTTTAAAGTTAAACATGTCTTTAAAGTTTGTTCCCTTTTGTCTTCATTACTAGCCGTTGACTACTCTTATTTAAAGCAGTGCTGTCTCTGTTTTTTTCCCCAATTGATTGGTTTTACTGGAATCACACAAATTACTTACATGTGGGTAATTTCCTTTGTCATTAAACAAAGGAAGGGCAGGGGGGGGGGGTAAATGAGGTAAATAAAGAAAGCAGACAACCTAAGCTAATTAACACTTCATCGTGCCTGAGACCTTGTATCAAAGTAGTAGGCAGACACAGCAACTTGGAACAACATTGGGATATTGGCTGGAGCTGCAGTTACAAATCCAGCTCAGTTTGTTGAAGTTGTTAGCAGTACAGTGCAGTAACAGTAGCTAAATGTATACAGGATGGATATCCCAGGGTATAAATAATCTAATTAAGACGGATTCATGTAACCCTTGGACTCAGAGAGACTCACGTGTGATGTGTGGCTGGATATGTGTAAATGTAAATGTCAAAGCACCTCTGTTCTCTGTGCCGTTCAGACTTCAGGGACAGCGTGCCTCTGTGAGATGATATGCTTGACACTGAAGCTGGATAAAAACAACCTCTCTCCGCTCTCCTCGCTCATTTGAGCAGACAGGTACACGACGTATATGTGTTTCTGTGAGTCCGTCTGCAGATGATTGAATAAAATCCACAGAAAGGCCAGTGCTTGCCTCAGGTGTTCATTTGAAAACAAGAATTGCCATCACATACGCTTATCAGAGTTCGATGAGAAGATCAACACCACTCTCAGTAGCCTACACACGAAGGTACAACCAGCGGCTGGTTAGCTTAGCTTAGCATAAAGACTGGGAAAAGGGCCAGCCAGGCTCTGTCTAAATGTAACAAAATCAACCCTCAAACACTTCTAAAGATCACTAATTAACATGTTTCATTTCATTTGCTTAAAGGTTTAACACTCTAGAAGTCACTGCACCTGGCCAAAAGATAGTCCCCCATATCCATTACGTTATGGCCTTTGTTAAACTCACATAAACCACAATCACAACACCCCATAAAACGACAGATGAAACAAACAGGAAAATTATTACATGTTAAAAAGTGAACTTTGGCAGTGCTGGTAGGCAGATTTGTTTACATTTGGAAAGACTTGTGGAGGCTGTTTTCCCCCTGCTAACAGTCTTTATGCTAAGCTAACTGTAACCTGGCTCCAATCTCGTGCTTTATGGACAGATGTCAGAGTGCAACCAATTCAAAACAAGTTTAATCTAACTAAACAAAAAAAAAGCCAATTTGTTTATTTCTAGCATGTCAAACTATTCATTTTTGATTTCATTAAAAACACACGTTTAAAGGATATTATTGAAAATTGATTTGGCACATATAACTGTAAAACTTGAAAATAAAAAAAAGGCTGAAACCTGTAGTATTGATTTATTTTTTTTATATTAAATACAAGACTCTGAGTGATCACATCCATCAGGAGATAAGGGAAATATTATGAGAATAAAAATGATGTGAAAATTGTCTTGTCCCAATGAGGTTCTTGAGCAGCTCAAGAGCGTTTCCCAAGATTCATTCATTCAAACACCAAAAAATGTACTAACATAAATGTACAGTACTTAATCAAGTTTTCATGTTTAGACCTCCTTTCATATTTAAAATATTGATGATGGTCAAGGACAGTCTTTGCTTTGATCCTGTACAGGTAAGAATGATATTATAATTCACTTATAATCAGGAAATGAATGTTAATTCAGTGTGAATCCAGTTAGAACTGTAAAAAGAAGTTAAGTCTGTTAAGTCATCCACTAGATGGTGGTAGAGGATCTCTATACATAAAACTGCAGTTTAATGTAAAGCTCAACACCTATTGGTGCAACAGGACCATAATTCAGAGATATACACTATCAACAGGTATTCATTCATAGGCATCCTTTATTTTGACTTTATTGTCACATATCTTTTTGAGAAATATGCAAAACCTGAACTGCCACAGAATTCATTTTTCACGAGGATGACACTTTCTTCCCTGTTTTGATCCGCAGGTCTCGGAGAGATTTGACTGTGAGAATGGCTGTTTGAGTTATCATAATTTATAGCTATTTATCATGTTTGTGTT